CAGACATGGCTTCAGGCCTCTAATGACAAATCCATTTTTTTCCTCTTCCTCCATTTCGTGGTTGACGTCGTGGCACAGCTTCAGCATCTCATGATAGTACTGCCAAACATCCTCCGACTCCTGCTGCTTCCTTGTTAGTAGCTTCATGTACCCTTGCTCCTGAACTTTTTCATTTCGAAAGTTCGCTTGTAAGTTCTGCATCGCTTCCTCTACAGTTCCGCACCCATCTTCAATGGTTTCGAAAAAATCTAGCGCTGCCCCGCTAAGATAGCATGGCAACTGTATAAGTTTCGTTTCATCGGTCCACCTATTAGCTCTGGCGGCTCGATTGAAAGTTTTGATGAAATCTTCCACTCTCTCTTCGGTTGCTCCCGAAAACACCTTGGGACTTACCGACGGGTAGATTTCTCTAGGCGCCTGGTTGGCTTCCATAATTTCCTCGTTTATGTTTTCTACTACTCTTTCTTCCTCTTCAACTCGATCTTCGTTCCTTGCTTCTTCTTCTTGTATTATTATCGGAATTCTAGCACGGCTTCTTGTGAACATTAAACTTTTCACCACTGTTTCGTTAAATTTGTCGGTGATTTTGATTTAGATTTTGGTTCAGAAATTTTAATTTTATTTTATTACACGAGATGACCGGCTTGCCTCCACCAATTTGTGACACTGCTTGGGGACTTGGGGCGAATTTATAGGCCAAAAGGTTCGATTTAGATGTTTATTGGTGAGTTGTAACAATGTCACGATGTTAAGTACAACTGCCGGTACAAATACATAAAATGCAGTTGCTTGAGTCGTTGCTTCCCCCGGTCCCCCGCACGCTGTGGGCATCTTGCTGACTTGACAATCTGGCGTATAGCTCGGTCATGAAGTGGGTAGAGACTGATATACAGAGTGTTCTATGTATTTTCGCGACAATATATAACATGATTGTAAAAATATCAGCTGGAGTTAATTATCCCTCGAGCTTATCGTCAAAAGAATCTTGTATAAAATAATAGGTCTTTTCAACAAGCAACCTATTCACAGCCTTTCTGGATGCCTTTTGTTCCTCAATTTGTTTCATATGTATCGGCATTCAATATGATTCACAGAGACATCATTCAAAGAAGGCAAGGACCACATGCCCCAAATTCATTCCTTAATTCATCATTGCTATCGAAATCCAAGTTTTCTGATGTATGGCAATGAACTTATTCGTTCTGAAAGAGGTGTTCAACATGGTGACCCGTTAGGTCCAGCCTTATTCTGCTTATCAGTTGACCAATTAACAAAAAGCATTCCAACTGCATTCAATAGCTGTTATCTTGATGATGGGTCAATAGGCGATGACGCCAATTAGGTATTGAAAGTTTTCGGAAATATCATAACTGAATCGAAAGAACTTGAACTTAAATTGAATTTCAATAAATGTGAATTAATTTTCCTGCACCCTTATCAGATTGAGCTATCTCTGTTTATTTTGAAGATAAACTGAATTCTTTTCCTTTGATGTCCTCGAGACTAACTGATTTATCAGCACATATAGCCTTATTTTCATTGAAAAATTGTTTGGCAATTTCAAAACTGACCCACACACTCAGATGTATTTCTTCTTGTCCTGATGAGCAAGGTCTACGGAATATTGATGACAAAATTCGTCATACCGTTGAGAAAACAACAAACCATCATCTGTTAGAAGATAAATGGCTACAAGCAACCCTGTCAGTGTCCAGGGGAGGTTTGGGTGTTATTTCTTCAGATGCAATAGCTTCACTAGCTTTCCTATCTTCTTTCAACAGTGTCCTTCATGTGGTTGATAAAATTTTACCACCTCCATTGTACCTGATCTATGCCATATGAAGTGTAGCGCTCTACAACTAAGACCTCTGTTCCAGTCAATAGAAGTTTACAGAAACCTTGGGATTCTCCTTTGATTGATTTATTATATGAACAACTTCTCGAGTAAGCTTCAGACTCTCCAATTGGAAAGGCTCGTCTCAAGGCAGTGAGTAAAAAATAATCCGGAGCTTGGCTCAACGCGCTTCCTGTTGCATTCCTAGAACCTTCATGGATGATGAATCTTTCAGAATATCGATAGGACTCCGTTTATGATGCTCTTTATGTATCAGCCATACATGTCGTTGTGAAGCTATCATCACAGAGAAGGGTATCCACGGACTGAGCTGCAAATTGAGTTCAGGTCGTTCTTTCAGACATTCCACGGTCAATGATTTGATCAAACGAGCTTTGTCGACTGCTGAAAGCCCTTCTGCCCAGAATCGCTGGGAGTCAGTCGAGATGATGGAGAGCGACCTGACGGAATGTCTCTCATTCCATGGAGTCGAGACAAACTGATAGTCTGAGACTTACCTGCGTAGATACGGTTGCAGCATCTCATATCATTTCGATATCAAGAGTTCCTGGTGGAGCAGCTGATTCGGCAGAAAAATTTGAATTGAGAAAATATCACCATCTGAAGGATCAGTTCATTTTCTTTCCAGTGGACATAAGAACATTTGGTGTTGTTGTTAGTTATGCTTCAGATTTCATGAAAATAATTGGACAGAGGCTTATCAAGAAAACAAATGACCCAGGGTCTAGTTCCTTTTCCATACAATGCATCAGTATCGCCATCCAGAGGGAAAATGCTGCTTCTATATTGAGTGTCATTCGTTCCACTCAACGTCTAGATGAAATATTCATACGCTCGCAAAGGATACCAACATTGAATAACAAATCTTCTTTCTTCAGAAAAATCCATCACTCTCAGGAATTTCGGCAGAATACCTTGAAAATTTTTGGTCTGAGAGGTTAGAAGAATATTGACAACACGTGTTCCATGAACAGCATAATACAATGTTTGTCAAACACTTGATGGATTTTCGAATTTCTTAGCGAAGAAAAATATATGGCCGAGTTGAACGATCCTGCATTGATAATGGAAGCATTCGCAGAAGTGATTAACAGACTATGATTGGAAAATTCAACTGATACTGTGATGAATATCGTTTCTTTGAAAAATCAGATACAAAGATTTGCTTCCAATTTGACTCTCTTGTTTTCCCACTGATTTCGATATATTCAGATCAACTTTCATCTCATCATTGATCTTATGATCTACCAATTCAGTGATTTCCCACCAATCTTAGTTGATTGATTTGGCGCGTACTTTAGTGAGATGTAACAGGACAACTTGGGTGCGTGTTACCGAACTATACTGTGCTCCTGCATTACCGCCAATCGGCTGCAATTACGTCGTTGGAAGGAAACTCGGTAAGAACATCAAACTCTCATGCAAAACGCATACATCAAAAACAGCCCACTTGAAGTCAAGTGAATCTATTCCCGCTTACAGCGAAATAGGGATATACACAAAACATGCAGCAAATAATGAAAACCTTTGTAGATATAGTCTATATTCTGTATCTTATTTTAGTGAAATAACTTTATCTGCACACTACACAGGATATTGTGAACATCCAATCACTGAATTATGGAACGACTACAATGACTCGATTGTCTCACAAAAATCATCTGAATCTATTGTGAATGGAGAAGCATACATCCTCTTCTACGAGCAGGAGGTTGCAAGGACGCGGAACAAAGGAAATAAAGACGAGAGTTCTGCTATCAACAATCACGGAAATAATAAAAGGCTCAGTAGGGTGAAACAGATCACAAGAAATGAGATGTCAGTTCTACAGGACGTATCATCATTCGAATCGTCACCAAACCAGAACATCATCTCGCGAAAGAGTCTCAGATTGTCTGCCAAGGAGTGTTCTTATGATGGCTTTCCCAACATCAAACCTATGCTGAGAAGAGTGGACAGGGTGATGAAGGAAAAAAACGGCATACGTAAATGTTCCACCAAAACGTTCCTCAAGAAATATGAGGAATAAATAATGTTGGCCGTTTTATCGAATTTTTTATATTTTCATTGTATAATAGCTTGATGAAGTTCTCAAAGGATGTAAAAGAATCATAAACCTCTGTTCCCAAACCGGAGTTCAGGACAGAACAGAAGATGCTTTCCCCCATGGCTCCCAGCAATATTTGCTCTCTATAATGTACAATGTACATATAGGGTGAGTTGAGTTTTTATTACTTGTTACTCTTCGCCAAGATTGAATGTGTATATATGTTATGTTTGAGAACATTCTCAGTATTATTCATCATTATCACTATTGGAGTTCATTCTCTAATGGATCTAGAATGGAACTCAGGCAACCCCCGATTACTGTTTTTGACAGTATATTGAAAACTGCAGGAACTGATTCTTACTCGTGACCTGAATAGAGAAATTGGATTTGTTATAAATCAAAGTTCGATTATGGGAAGAATCCAATCTAGGTCCTTGTTACAGCTCAGGTTCATCGATACATTCTCCACAACCTGATAAATATTTTTATCAGAAAAAATATTCACCGAGTGATTCTCATACCTGTTTAGGGAGGCTCTTTGGCACCGCTTAAAAATTTTCCATCAGATTTGGGCACCGTGAACTACTTATTTGATATTTCACTACCAATTTGAGCACTTTTCGAACATTGAGACGGGTGCCGAATCCTAAAGTGAAATGTTTAAATGTCTCCCGGGATGGAACTGGACTGAACAAGATCAATCATCCCAAATCAGAATGTGTCAACAAGTAACAAATAAATATTTATTCATCGGATAAAAAGATGAAAGGAATAAGAGTTTTCGAAATATCGATAAACACATTTTTTTTCCTCTAAACGTCAATATTTCGTACGGCTAAAACAAAGTGTTCTTGAGATCACGTTGATGGAATTAACCTACTTCTTCATTCTGATGGGTATTATGGCCATCAGGAGCTCGATTGATGAAAACTTGAATACTTTGTATAGAGAGATTCGAAATCGAAATCGATCTGAATATTTTGGGTGAACCATTTTGTATAACCGATATGAACTCTGTATTGTATCTCTTCCAACGTATATTATTGAAATGCTGATCAATGATACTTGGTAAACCAAGGAAATCGTTGCACATACCTTGTTTCAGTTTATCAGATATTTCTTTTGTAGTTGCGTCAGTTAAAATATTATCTTCTGATATATTGATTCCTTGCCTCTGTTTACATGTTATAATCTCGTTGACATCTCTCCTACTACCTCTTCTGGGTTTGAGGTCTGGAGATTCAAAATTTTCATGATTAAAAATTATCACGAGTCCGGGTTCATTTCCATCCCTTTTGTACTCGAACTTTTCATCAATCGCTAAGTTTTGTCTCTCCTTGAAGGTACCATATTTTCCGTGTTTGACATCTGAAAAAAAAAATGTTCATAGTATATTTTGTAGGTATACAATTATGTTTCTTCTATGGATGTTGCTTAGCAAAATTTGGTGCAAAATCTTTGGTAGGTATTTCTCCTTGAATGCGATTATTTCAGAAGAATGACCATTATCTTCATTTAATAATACTAACTAGAATTGCTTCTTGTTCAGTTGATATAGACAGAACATGGTATTCACTTCTAAAATCTGAACATGGAAATGGTAAATTCAAGATTAATTAATGAAAACATCCTGTAACTCCTTTGATTGCCAACGTCACCAATTGTCATTGAAAAGCTTCAAGACGACTTCGCAATTGAAAAAATCTCTTTTCATGTTGAAAACGGGAGCAGAATCGGTCTCGAAACGTCCAAAGATAAGTGAAAATTTGATATATTTTCTATATACCGTTATTTCTCTTCTCCAAAAATTTTTCAATACAAATTGTCACTGACAAGCTAGTGAATTTTTCTTTTAGGCTCTCTGATAGGAAAATGCTTTAAACGCAGTGACATTTTGGGGCAAATCATCTGATTTGTCCTTACTACACGTATATTGAAATAATATTCATATTTTTATTTTATAGAAACGAGGAGAGAAAATCCCAAAAATTTTGAATAATGTTGAACATGGGTTGTCGATCTCTAAAAGAAAAAGGTGAAATAGTACTTTCTGTTGGAGACGGCGCTAGGTTCTATCCTGATGCGGCTCATGAATTCAATAGAAGAAACCTGCTTGTTGATTTAGTCCAAACTGGGACAGTTTTGAAAATATATAATCAATTCTGGAATACCGGGCAATCAAAAGAAGACAGAAAATTTCAGAAGAATCATTTAGATGATGAAGTCATTTTGACAGCATTTTCAACCGATCCTTAAATGAGTTCAGCCCAATATTAGCCGTAGCAAAATTTGGAGGTGCATGAAAGGGCATGAAATGCATGCTTCCAAACAAATTTCTCCACCCATTACGCGACGGCGACGAAGTCCGCCGAATAGAATTATGTTTGTGGATACCTCAATGATAGGATAGTCTCACGAAAAATATTCTCTACAGCGATGGGCCGACTCTTATCACAAACGGTGTGATATCTTTTCAAAAATTCAAGGTATTGGGCTGAATAGAATCCGTATTGGGTAGTGATCTGCAAAGACTAGGTATTTCAAAGAATGAATTCGTAGTATGGCATCCTTCATCAAAGAATGAAAAGCCTTTATTTTTTCGCGAATCATCTGAATGGTCAATAATTTCCCCATTTGCTGAAATAATCATTTATGTACCATGGACGGAACACTGTTCATTATAGTTGAGTTTGAGAATTGATAGCTGGTGCCTTAGTCGAGGCTAGCAATCAGGCGAGATAATAGACTGTTTTTCGCCGAGGTGCATATTATATTTTTTCGTCGACCTCAAACACTTATATCCACATCACGGTCCTATCCACACGTGGAATCTATTGGATTTCGTGAATAATTGAATTTGAAACAGCAAATGACAGTTGTTGTCAACTCACACCTCGCGCGGACCAGGGTTGCCAGTTTGATATCCATTCCATCAGTGAATACCTTGTCAAAAATGCAGAAGATTTCAATAGATCCGTACGAGATATATTATATTTGATTTTCATAAGCTATACGAATTTCAATGAAGGATAATGAAGTTAACCTATGACGTCACAACATTATGTACTTCTAGTACAGAAAAGTAACCTATTTTCGACAAAAGAGTAACAAACGAAACAAACATTTTTTTACAACTACATTTATATTCCCAATTCGAAAATACTCAATACAAATATAACAGAATACATTAACATAGGTACTCAAGAGATATAAGTATATATATTAAAAAGAGAATATTTTGATTACAGAAGATGTTATAGAATTGAAAAACATTTTGGTTGAACCATTAACACAATTGATCAATAAATCATTGTTAACAGGTGTTTTTCCTCATGAATTAAACACACCTCATTATGGCAATGTATAAAAGCGGTTAGGCTCAAAATCCGGTGAATTACAGAACGATAGCTTTGTTGAGTATTCTGTCCAAAATACTTGAGGAAGTAATAAAAAAGAGGATTGTTGACTTCATCAATAAAAACTATGGGTTGGACTTGAATCGATTTGGTTTTCAAGAGAAGAGTGGTACACAGTCAGCTGTTTCACAAGTAATCAATTTCATACAAGATAGACTTGACAGGGGAACTTATTTAGTAGATATTATTATGGACCTAAAAGAAGCATTTGATACAGTTGATCACAATATCCTCCTGAAAAACCTTAATTTAATGGGCATCAGAGGTATTGGAAACAATATCTTGAGAAAATATCTAGAAAATAGGATTATCAGTACCAAAATCAATAATTGTCCCCAAGGGTCAGTGTCGGGCCCAATTCTGTATCTTCAATACATTCAAAACATTAAAAATAATCAATAGGAAACTATGCTATATATGCAGATGACACAGAAAGAAAGGAAGGAACTTTATTCACTACTAGAGATTACAATGCCTCTTACAAAGAAATCCATCAAGAGAGAAACATGTAAGAAAAAAACACTGGTTGGTCTCAGTAACAAGTCAAAAAGAAATTTAAAAACAATACCTATACGAAGTCAACCCTCGACAGAAAAACATGTACAATATCTCATTATAAAATATGCAAATATATACAGACATGTATGGAAAAATACACAGTAATAATAAATTTAAAATATACAGATGTCTAGTTCACAGGCATGTGTTAGCAAATTATATATTTAGCGCCTTGCATATTAGTCTTATCATGGGATTGTCGTGGGAGACGGGGATTATTGACTTCGATTTTTTGCCTGACGCGAATGACATCAATTTGTTATAAAACTTCATATTTCACTTTGTATGTATATTTATCAATAAAAACCCTCGATTAACCCGTATTTTAACACTTCAGAAGTGGGATAAACATTCACGTCCGGGAAAATTTGGAAAGTTGATATCAACAGAGTGGTTAAGTTGAAGTTTCGCATTTGCACAGAGAGGAGGCTAGATGGAAGAGGTAAATTGAATACTGCACGAGCGTATCTCAAGGGTCCGGCAGTGGCGTGGTTCGAAAGGGTTGGGCGTGAAAGGACCCCGCACTTTTAGTACGTAAAATGGTTCTCGGTGAAATTTTCTGAATTTTCAGTATGTTGTAGAATTCGATGAACTGATTTAACCTGCAGAATCATAAAGTTATTTGATGAACAGATTTCGAGAAACTGGGCGTTGAATTTTCAAATCGGTATTTTTCATTTAAGTATTTTCCCGAAATTCAAAGATGCCAAGTACAATTTTTTTCGCTCATATTGTCACGAGTAGAACATACAGTATATTAGTAATTTGGAACCATGAGGGTTTTATTAACATAAAATTAATCGAATCATCTATTGACATTGAACTATGAAATCTGACCCAGGAACTCTCATGAGAAACGTGCAAATCTAATAAAATTATGTATATAAATATTGGATGTGGGGGTTCCGAAGTGAGTCTGGTCTAGGGCTACTCTTGACTTGACAAGAGCTCGTCGTAATGGTCGTTATAATGTGAGTTGTTATTAGGTCCTAATATTCATTGTTGATTATTCATATTTGTCATCACTTCACCCATAATGTTTTATGCTGCAATAAATATTGTTATGTTTGAATGCAATCTCGTACTTTCAGTTACCCCTAAACTATTAGTGCTTATTTGAATATTACCTCTCGCAAACTATTAAGCCAAGCATTACCCCTTATAAATCGATATGGGTGGATAACCACCGATTATATCGTAACATGGTGGAAACACAACTCTTATATCGTGACATGGTGGAGGCGCCGGGCACGAGTAGAACATATATTAGTAATTTGGAACCATGAGGGTTTTATAAACATAAAATTAATCGAATCATCTATTGACATTGAACTATGAAAACTGACCAAGGAACTCTCATGAGAAACGTGCAAATCTGATAAAATTATGTATATAAATATTGGATGTGAGGGTTCCGAAGTGAGTCTGGTCTGGGGCTACTCTTGACTCGACAAGAGCTCGTCGTTATGGTATCTATAATGTAAGTTGTTATTAGGTCTTTATATTCATTGTTGTTTATTCATATTCATAATCATTTCAGCCCTAATGTTTCATGCTAATATAATACATATTGTTTTATTTGAATATAATCTCGTACTTTCAGTTGCCCCTAAACTATTAGTGCCTTCTTGAATATCACCTCTCTTGTTGTGATATCAAATTGATATGGTGGAAACTATCATTTTATCGTGACATGGTGGAAACACAACTCTTTTGTTGTGACAATATCATCAACGAACCTCCATATAACTCAACATAATTCAGATGGTTCAGATAATGTAATTGTTTACAGAGTGAAACATATAAACGTTTCAGTGATGTCTGAAAATTCGATGTAATAATGAAATATCGAAAGAATAATTTCGGCGTGCAATATACTATTTTCATTCCATCATGAATCACAATTCATACATTCCATACAGGGTGATTTGAAAAATTGGTGACACCTAAGACCGATTTATTCATACACATCCTGTATATTCGAGTGAATTGTTAACCTCCCAAGATAGCTGATACCGTATGAACATGATTTCGTTGAGATATATAGGGTGATCATGAAGATTTTCGATGATGAAAATGACAAAAAATCGTGTTTTTTGAAATCACCCGGTTATTCATGATTAACTCGGTGAAATTCCCTAATCATTTTTTAATATATTCATCATTCGCTCCTCAACGCTGTCTTGAAAATTCAGTTTCCTATCATGACGGGTGTCATAGTTATTAATTCAGGAACTTACCATTTGCATGAAGAATTGAAGAGACTTGTTCAATTACATTCGCATAGTGGCCGATATTTTTCACAAATAGTGAAACGTGAGAATGTGGAGACAAAAATAAGTTTAGTATTCATATACAGGGTGAACATTAGAAATTCAATAACAATAGCAGATA